CTGTCTACCTCAGTGCTTGCCAACGACAAAGATAAAGGGCAAGGCCCTGGGGACGGAGTACAAAGACTCTCGGCTCCGAAACAAACACAGGAGCAAGCCTCCTGCAAGGGCAAGGTCCTGGGGATAGAGTACAAAGACTCTCACCCCCGAAACAAACACAGGAACAAGCCTCCTGCAAGGGCAAGGCCCTTGGGACAGAGTACAAAGACTCTCGCCCCCGAAACAAACACAGGAGCAAGCCTCCTAGGACATTTCAAGGATTCCTACGAAAGTATACGCAAGGAAGAATTCAGAATCATGAATCACATTCTATCCGATATTAAACCTTTAAACAGAACTTTGTTCAAAAAGAGGGGCTTTGCGTCCCCAAAAGCTACATGGGAAAAAGTACAGATCAAAAAAAAAGGGGGGGGGCTTTCATCTTGCCCCGGGCATCTCCAAAATGTCCGCCGATGGCGAATCGGCATAGAAAGGTTGAGCAGCTTCGGGAGTAGGCGGAGCAGGAGGTACTTCGGCGATAGAAGGATCCTGAGGGATATTATGGTCCGGGTCCCGGTCCAGCAAGGCCTCATCAGACAAATCCACTATTACCGCCTCAGGCAGATCCATCGAAACTTGCACCGGCGTTGGAATCTCGCCCTCGGCAGCAATCTCTGCTTCGGCCCGTTCCATTTTTGCCAAGGGCACGTACTTGTGCATCTGGAAAAGTGGAGAGTCTGACGGGATTCCAGCAGACTGGAGCGCCTCGTCCCACCCCCTCTTGAAGAACTCCTTGCTGTTTTTCTCAAGAGCAGGGAGCACGTCATCGGCGAACTCTTCTCGGAGTTGCTCCTCGGATTTCCTATTCAATGTCTCATCCATGATCCTGTCCAGCTCCTGGGTCAGAGCCAGACAGCTTTCCTCTGAACCAACAGCCCTTTCCTCTACCGCAGAGAGCCGCTGCGTCTGTTCTATTATCCTCCTCTCAGCGTCGGCAAGGGCAGCACTTAGCTTTTCAGCATCGACATTCGCCAACTCGGCCTCCTTGAGGAGTTACTAGATTTGAGCAGCCTGCCCCGCGAGGGTGGAATCCCTTACAGCGACATCCTCCCTAGCACTGGCAAGGGCTCCCTCGGCTTTTTCCTTCTGCTCTCGAACCCGCTGAAGGTCCATCCTAGTCCCATGGTACCGCGCCGCTATTATGGAAATCTGTTGGGTGGGCTGCAAATAAAAAAGCATGTCACTAAAAGGAAAATTGGGGCTAAAAGAGACTGAAGCAAAAATGAACTTACCACCAAGGAATTTTGGATGATGGAGCGAAACAACACATTTGTTGATCGCCCCCTGTGAGCCGCCATGTCGGCCTCGAAATGCAGCGTCTCACTCACTGCATTGGCGACATGAGGGTCCTACAAAATAGAATTGTCGACCCTGATCACTCGGTCCATGTGATCAGTGGCTCGAGGGTTCCACTCCGCAGCTTCCACTGTCTGCGGAAGAGGAGGAGTCTGCTGTCGCCGCTGTTGCTGTTGCTGTTGCTGTTGCTGTTGTCGCTGCTGTTGTTGTTGCTGCTGAGGAGCAGGAGGTAACCCACGACCCCTCCCACTTTGCTGCTGAGCGGGAGAGGCCCTGGATCCCCTCCCAAGGTCGTCGTGCCTATGTTTGACCTTTCTCTCCTCCTCTATCTGAGGATCTCGATCACGTACCTGACCCCGACTAACGACTCTTGAGGAGGGGGTGGTGCTGGTCCCTGCCTTTGGGGTCCCACCGGCCGATCCTCGTCCCCTCCCAGTAGCGAGGGCTTGCCTCTGCCTAAGGAACCCTAAATCAATACGGGGCGCGCTGGACATAGCTACCTCAAGGGCGTCCTCGACGTCGAGAGATTGTAGGATTTGGAAGTCTAGCCAGGAATCTCTCCCCGAAGTTCCCACCTCGGCGTGCAAAGGAACCAAGTCCTCTCCAACCCCGAGCTCTTCAGCTTCACCCGCAACTTCAGCCTCCGAGGCCCGATCAGGGTCTTCTTCCAAGTTTTCCTCAACTTCCTGCCCCGTCGCCTGATTAAAGAGTTCAGACTACCGAGAAGGCTCGAAAGGCTGGAGACGCTGTGAAAACTTTTTATACCCGGGGGTGTAATTTAGGAGGATGTGGGCAGCCCGGCCGAGCCCGTCGTCGCCAGTAAAACTCCAAACAGTGATTAAGTCAGCAAAATTCACCGACGATCGGGGTGGAGGTGCTGTTTCCCGAGGGGAGATGTCTGCACAAGCAAAAAAGAGGGGAGTGGGTCATGAGCATGTAGAAAATCTCAAAAAAAAAAATAATAAGGCCCGAAGGAACTGACGTACTTGTCGTTCTCCATTCCAATGGACATAACAAGCCGTCATACTCGGGACCGACACCTCTCTGCCAAGATTCCCTGAAGATGAGTAGGTCATCCTTGTACCCCTTGTCCGAGTCAGGAAGGTGAGTTACGAGGTACATAGATGGGTCCCTGGCTTTGAGGTAGAAGTGTTGTTGAGGCGTAACTCTGAAAAGGGAATAACAGAAAAGGATATCATTCAGCCCGACGTTTACCCCAAGACGCCTATTGAGCTCTAGCACCCCCATAATTATCCTAAAGACATTAAGACAACACTGCCCATGAAAGAGGTGGAAATGACAGAGGAACTGGAGAAGCAGAGGGGGCAAAGGGAACCTAATTCCGCCTTCTATAATAGCTTTAATATAAAAAGGCATTGCATCCTCGGTACCGAGGGTACGAGGGTGCACAGCCGCATCATAATCCTCTACCTCTACATTCGGTGGAATGTCGTACCTAACCCTAAATCTATTAATTTGTTCACTACCTTTTACTTTATACTTCCCTGGCCTCGAGGTACTAGCCTGAGGATTCTCGGGGGCAGAACGACAATGAGGCATGTTCAAGAAGTGATAAAAATAGCGGGGGTTTTTCACGAAGATCCCCAAGAAGGCTTCCCGGGGGTTGATAGCGGGATGGCAACCAAAAAACACCTCCGGTAATCGAAAAACCAAAAGAGACAGAAGGGCAAAGAAATGGAGGATACTGGAACTCACCAGAGCGTAAGTAGAGGTATTTTCTGAAAAACCTGAATCGATTCCTTCCCAAAAAGTTCAGAAACAAAGGATGGGTCTGCTAGCTTTAAAGCTTCAGTGAAAAGGTTGGGCAGTTAAGAGACAGAAGAGAAGAGGTCTCTGGCGAAGATTCAGGCAAGGGCTCTCTGGAAGAAAAGTTCAGAATGACGAAATGAGAAAAAGAGGGAGAAAGCCCATTTATATAGTACCGGTCTCATCATTGGGCGCGAAACACGAAAGGGCGCATTTAATACGCACGACTCCCTAAGCAGGGGAAAGCGGCTAGAGGCAATGATGAAGCAGTTGAGGTTGTTGGGAAACCCTTCGTCTCCTTACGACGCGTGTCCTTGGCGTCAGAAGATCAAAGGCTGGGGGGCAGTTGATGAGACTTTTCTAAAATACCCCAAGATGAAGACACGTGTCCTCGGCGTCACTAAAAATCCTGTTAACTGAGATCACGCACCATCGGCTTACAACTCCCCTCGCCGCCGAGGTACTTGACACGTGTCTTTTACGTTTCACAAACCAACACATATCCCTCGGTCTGGTATGGTACCTCGTCATCATGTACGGCTTCCCTCGGCTCGAGATGTACCTTTCTCGGTACCGAGATGTGCATGTCCTCGGTACCGAGATGTACCCCGTCCAAGATGCCTTTTTCTCTGCTCCAGTATAAGCTATTGATGTATAGGTCATTAGCCTAGGCTAGTCTAGGTTAGCTATCATGGTCTCGTCTTACACAATTGGTGTCAGAAGGAACAGAAAGGCAGGGTCCACAGCCAATAAGGGATGGACGCGTGGCAAATTGTGTCACATCAGAGACAGAAAGACCGCATGCCCTTACTGACACGCGACTTGAGAAAGTAAACATTTAATTACACCATTCCCTTGATGAGACCGCATTCAATGCGTTAAGGCTCGGAATTGAAAGGCAATAAATGTCTCTAAGGCTGGACATTTATTGCATCCTCCTCGAGCGGAGATCATTAGATAGTCAGCAGCCCGATGACACAACATTGATTACTCGGCGCCCCGAGCAGTTAAAGAAAGGAAGACATTCCTCATCAGAATCAGTGCGCACACTGCCTGTACCTAATGATCATCTACTGACAACACTGACAGCAATAATGAGCTTTTGAGGTATAAATACCCCTCATAAAAGGCAAAACGGTATAAAACAAAAAACTATTTACTACGAAATATACTCAGTACTTTCTTCTTCCTCTCCCTTTCAAAAACTAACTTGATCGTCGGAGGGGATACGCCGGAAAACACTCCAGCGCCCTTCTAACTTGTTCTCCTTTGTTCCAGGAACCTTTCCCCAGCCTTACTAGATCATTCCTTCAATTCACGAGGGTCTTTCGTTGCCGTTCCAGGTTACCACCGGATCTCACAGGCTGTCCCAAGTAGCGTGGTTGTCCACTCAGCTGACTCACTCAGAGTTCACAAAGGGAGATATCTGTTCTCGTTTTTTATATTGTGCAAGATCTAGCACGCACAAGTTGTAATTATACCCCGAATCTTCAGAAACATAATATATAAACAATACTGCTCTTAGACCAATTCAATGCCATTAAGTAAAAAATGGCTGCAGCTCTGACCAAGTTTTATCCAGTATTGGAATAAAATAAAACGAAGGTATCTAGAAGCACAGGTGCTAGAATTAAAAATTGATTGTGCTTAGTAGTGTCATACTATTTTATTTATATATGTAGTCCTCTATAACATGGAGAACATACACATATATATATATATGTGTGTGTATATATATGCATGTATAATTTGAACAGGAAACATACATCCCAGACCTTAGAAAAGAATTCCAGGCATTACAGAATACGTTCTCTCTTTGTCTCTACTTTTTTGTCATGGAGTATCCTCTGGTGTTCTGTTTGTTGATACTGTTGGGTTGTGGACTACTTCATTTTCAGGCTCATAGAAGCTTAGCTTGCTTGGAAGAAGAGAGAATTGGCCTGTTGACTTTGAAAGATGCCTTCAATTACCCAACCGGGTCTTCTCTTCCTTCATGGGGTGCTGAGGAGACAGACCGTTGCAGGTGGGAAAGGATCACTTGTGACAGCATGACCAAGCGAGTGATACAGCTTTCTCTCAATGATACAAGACAAGTGGAGTTCCTCAACGCCTCCTTGTTCCTTCCCTTCCAGGAACTACAAAATTTAAGCTTGGCAGGGAACTTCATGACAGATTTCTCTCTATCTCTGTTCCCTGCCCCCGGGAATACAATAAAAAGCAACTCCATGTGACCCGCATATTTTTTTTTTTAGGTGGAGAGCTTACGGGGTTGTACACAAGTAGGCAATGCCCACAATGAGAGGAGAATAAGGTTTTTTTTTGGGTTTGGGTTAGAATATTTACCTAGTTAGGCAAAGGAAAAAGGAGACAGAATTCCTCACACTAATTTAACGTAGTATTTTCTTTTAGATTATGAGCAGAGACTCATAAGTTCGAGTTGCAGAAACTGCTTTTCCACATGCAAGGTAAGGTTTCATACATCTGACCTTTTCCACACCTTGCAATGCACGAGCTTCGTTAGGTGAGCTCTTTCAGAAAATTGAGTAATGTGGCCTTAAGAAAAGGTGTTCTTTAATCAAATGGTATTCTGCATCCTCGGTTTTTGGAAAGCTGAACACACAGGAAGCTCAAATGGCAAACCAGAACCTTTAACCTTTAGGTAGTAGAGGTTTGCCCAGAGACAAACTGGTGTCGTACTTTTTTTTGTAGCGGGAATTGTAAGCAAACATCAAGGAAGAAATGCATGAATGGGCTTTGATCGACTTTGAAGGGAAAAAAGGAGCCTTTGGTTATTTTTCTTTCTTTTATTATTGTATCACACAGGTTTGCATGGAGTATTCAGATTGAACAACATACAAGTTTAAGATTTGAGTTTCAATTGGTTCACAGAAATTCCATCCTTGGGTCCACCACAGTCCTTAAAGGTCCTGATTCTTGAATTTAACAAGTTGAAGGGTTTTTCCCATTTTCAAGGTACATCCCAATTCTGGTATTTACTTATACGTTACATTGATGCAACACCTTACTTTTTTGCTCTACGCAAAAGCAGAATTAACTATTTTGAATAATCTGGAGTCATTGAATTTTGATGATAATTATTTGATTGGTGAGATTCCCCCGTCGATTGGTGCTTTGACTTCCCCGAAGGCTTTATCATTCAAGGGCAATAAACTAAATGACTCCTTACCCATGGAAAGTAGTTCCAGAGAGATTTGTACTTATATTGAATTATATATGTTTCCCTTTTAATGTGCTGGTTATAGTGGATCTTGTAGAAAATGGGTGGAATTAGAAATGCACGTGTATTGGAATTAATTGATTGTTCAAATTTTAGCCGCCAGTCAAACTGAATCTCCATAGGCATTCCTTTGATCCATCCAAGTCCTTCCATAACTTACCATTATGTTTCATATCCAACTTACCTTTTAATTTGGAATTACCGTAACTTGATTCTGGCTCAGCTCACATTTTGATTAACCATTGTATGTCCCTTTAAGCACCACATGGGCGGCCCAACCTAATTTGGAGCTCTAGGCAAAAATGTTATAGGAGGTCCTACAAATATTTATTGAGTAATAATAATAATATTAGATACTTATTAAAATATGTTTATTTACAAATTATTTGTTTTGTCTTTTAAGATATAACATACTAATTAAAAAATTTAATTCAAAATTTTCAAATAAAAATTGTGTTAATCGAAGTCAAATACAGAGATCAAATACAATGATACATACTATTTGTTAAAGATAAAAGAGAAACATAATTGAAAATTAGGTTGATTAGTAAAATAATTTTTTTTCTAAATGTATATAAAAATAAAAATTTATACAAGTTGAGTAGTCCTAAAATAAATGAGATATTGTTAGATATCATTGAAAAAAGAGCTATTTTTAAATAAAAAATTTAGTAAGACAACTATGGTTAATTAATTTGAGATAACTAGTGCACTCCTTTTACTCACTTTATTTTATAGTCATCTTGTGCATTGTAAACAAAGTTATTAAAAAATGACCTCAAATGTAACTTATACAAATGTAAAATTATTATTCGTACCTATTATACGATAGACAATTGATTTTAATAATAAAACTGCAAAGTAATAATACATATAATATAAATATCGAGTAAGATAAAAAAATAAGTTAAACTTTAGGGCCCTAAATTTTTTTGAAAGAGGTTCTAAAAATTTTATAATAATGCTAGTTGCACTTAATTTGAAGATCAAGTACATTAGATAAATAGTTAATTTTGTTTAAACTTAGCACTCACTATTAATTCAATGATTAAAATATATTGAGTATTTAAATTATATTATGAAATTTTAATTATATATTATTATTTATTTTAATTTGGAGTCCCAAAATTTTCTTCTAATTTGAGGGCCCTAGGCAATGGCCTAATGGGCGTAAAGGTTGGGCAGCGTTGAAGCACCATAGTCCTGTTTTTAGGGCTATAGGGAGGCCGATACCTCCACCATAACTTATTACGACAAAAGTCCACTTTTTTAAAATATTTGGGATAGAAGGACATCTCCTAAAAAAAAGACATAAAAGCCCATTTTTATAGGAGGAAGACAAATAGACCATCGGTTTTGAGAATTAGTATCGTTAATTACTTGGCATCCGTTACCAAAGAGTCATTAATGGCAATATCAAAAATTAACCATTTCCTAAACCTTTTTGAATTCCAAAGAATATATCATGTCATTCGTTATCATCAAAACTTCAACATTTGTCCGACAAATATTCATCACCAGTTGAAGCATATCTTCTTCATCACGAGTTCAAGCTGCTATTGTATGGTTGTCGAATTTTGGTTTTTGTCGATCTATTCGCCGGAAATCTTTGCGGTTCTTTGCCATAAATATTTGTAGTACTTCGCCGGATTATTTGAGTTCCTCTTTTCTAACGGTATGAATTTTTACCATTTACTTTTTTTTTTTGTTTAATACTTGAAAAATCCCCAAAGTAGAAAGAGATAAGCCCTACTTTGGTTGAAAAAATTAGTATTGTTATATTTTGCCGGATTTTTTTTTGCGAATATTGAGTTTGGATTCAATGAGTCATCTCAAATAGTAAGAAAATCACATATATCAAATTTTTTCTTGCTTAAAAAATCCCTGAAGTAGAAAAAGAAAAGCCTTAATTTGGTTGAAAAAATAATTTTTGATTTATTTTGTCGGATTTTTTTCGAATACTTAGTTTGGATTCAATGGGTCATCTCAAACAGTAACAAAATCACATATTTCAAATTTTTTCTTACTTTAAAAAATATAAAAACATAAATTACACATCCCTAGTTTTAGAGAAAATTTCTTTAAAATTTTTGTTTAATATTAAACACATTTCTTTTGCATGAATTATAAGAATTTCATTATTTCTAGGGATGATGTTACTTTTTGGTGAATCTCTATTGATAATTTTATACTTTTTGACATTGATTTTGGTTTGTCGATAATCGGCTAGTTGACATTTTTTATTGCTTATTGGTGTTAAATTTGCCTATTATTGTTAAATTCAGTTGTTTTCCATGAATTTCAATAGTTTCAAAAACTCTTAGGCATTGTGTTACTGTTCGGTGAATCTCTTTTGAGAATTCGAAGATAATCAATGTACATTTGGATTTTTTTGAAAAGTACTGATAAATTTTTTTATTGTCTGAAAAATATAAAAACATAAAATACATAACTCTGATTTTAGTGAGAATGATATTAAATTTGCTTGTTAATGTTAAATACATTTGTTGTCCATGAATTATAAGAGTTTCAAAAAAATGTAATGAAGTTGTTGTTGTAATGTGTATCTCTTTTTAAGATTTCGAAACTGTTTCAAGTTGATTTTAGTTACGGTGTGGTGTATCTTTTTTGAGAATTCCATGAAAATGTTGATTTCGAAACTGTAAACATGATTTTATTTTATAGTGTATCTCTTTTGAGAATTCAAAAATATTTGACATTGATTTAGTTTCCACGAATAATAAGAGTCTCTGTAGGCATGGTGTTTCTGTATGGTAAATCTATTTTGATAATTCAAATATATTCAATAGTAACAAAATTACATGTATCAAAAATTTTCTTGCTTAAAAAATATAAAAACATAGAATACACAACCCTAATTTTAGTGAAAATTAATTGAAAATTTCTTTTTAATGTTAAATGCAGTTGTTTTAAAATTCTTTATTTTTAATGTTAATTTCTTTTTATTTGTAGGCATGATGTTACTCTTTGGTGAATCTCTATTAAAAATTTGATACTTTTCGACATTGATTTTGGTTGGTGGATAATCAACCCTTTGACATTATTTCATGCTTATTAGTGTTAAAGTTGCTTATTAATGTTAAATGTAGTTCTGCTAAAAAAAAATGTTAAATGCAGTTGTTTTTCATGAATTTTAATAGTTTCAGAAACTCTTAGGCATTGTGTTACTGTATGGTGAATATCTTTTGAGAATTCGAAGATATTTGACGTACATTTGAGTTTTTTTTGAAAAGTAGATATTTAATATTTTTTTCTTGTTTGAAAAATACCGAAAACATAAAATACATAGATCTAATTTTAATGAAAATGATATTAAATTTGCTTCTTAATGTTAAATAGATTTGTTTTCCATTAAAAAATGTAAAGATGTTGTTACTGTAATGTGTATCTCTTTTTGAGATTTTGAAACTGTTTGACTGTGATTTTAGTTGATGTATGGTGTATCTCTTTTGAGAAATCATGTTTACAGTTTCAAAATCTACAGTCTCTTCTTAGAATTCGATAATATTCGATATTGATTTTAGTTGCCATGAATATAAGAGTCTTTAAGTATGATGTTTTTGTATGGTGAATCTAGTTTGATAATTCAAATATATTCAACGTAGGTTTAAGTGTTTTAGATTTTAGGTTTTACATTAGTTTAAACACTCTAAAGGCTAAAATACATAATCATAAATTTAGTGAGGATGCCTTTAATTTTTTTCCTTAAAATTAAATACATTCGTTTTCCATGAATTATATGAGTTTCACAAAACTCTATGCATTGTGTTACTGTATGATGAATCTCTTTTGAGAAGTTGAAGCTCTTTGATATACAAAATCACATATTTTGTACGCAGTGTTAATGTTTTTGGGATTCAAGACAGTTTCCCTCATCAAATGTTTTTGGTTTTTGAAAATTAGTGTCTTTAAAAATGATCGAATTTGATATTCGATTGAAAAATAGTCATTGAATGGTTTATCAGTGGTTTT